CACAGAACCTGACACAGTGGGCACTTAATAAATATTTATTCAGCAAGCGAGTGAGTGATTGCTTCTCCTCTCTAACTCAGACCGCTCTTGCTCAGGACTCCAAGGGATTTCCTAGAGGACAAGCCCATCACTCCCTTGAGGCCGGCCCAAACCCTCAGGTGTTCTGCCTCTATCCCTGACTGGTGGGTGAGATTCTTCGTGTCCTGGTGACCCAAGGCTCACAGTTGCCCGCACCCCGTCACTGGTATGTAACTTCTCCCTAGCTGCAGCTGCTCCAGCAGGAACTACTATATGACTGCTTCATCTCCAGGGGGTCCACGCCCCTTTCCTGTGCTCCCCTCCTGTCCTCTCCCTGCTGGTGGAGGGGGAACCACAGGACTCGCTGGAATGCACTAAGAGGAAAGGGCTCTTTGCTAAACGGGTTTAGTGGATCGCTCTCACCTCACGTCCGCACCCTGGCACATCTCGCTGAGCCTGCAATTGTGCACACCAGGTACATACAGTGAGTCTTTGCAAAAGGAAGGAAGTCCAGAGCCAATTTGGCAATGCTCATCAAGAGACATTCATATCCTTTGAACCTAATAATTCCACTCATGGGAATTGCATCCGGAGAAATAACTCAAAAGAAGAAAAAGGCTACATGTACTGTTTATAGCTATGTTATTTGTAATAACGAGAAAGTAAAAGCAAATGTCATGTTCCAAAATAGAAAAATGATTGAATAATTACGATATATTTATAAAGCAGGGTGTCATGAAGACATTTACAGTGAAAATATGACTATATGGAACAAGAATACGAACCTGGAAATAATGTTTAGAGAAAAGATGGCGCACAGAGTTGTATATACGCTGATTACAGTTACGTAAGAATTATGTATTTGGCTAAAACTAATAAAGATGTGAAAATTGGAAGTAGTTACATTATGCAGCATTGTCTTTTTCTTCCAACTTTAAAAAATAATGAAAGGGATATAATTGAGGATTTCAAAGAAGCAAAAAAAAAAAAAAAAAAGGAAGGAAAATAGTTATGTTAAGATGATGAATTTCAAACTTTAAAATATTTAAGATTAGCTCAATTTTAACAAACTAATATTTTAAAGCAAAGTGACTAGAAACTAAAGAAAATATCTTGAACAAAGTCCGTGGGTCTTCTAGAAAAAAAATTTTATTGGTGTGGTCTTATCACTGTTTTGTTTTATTTTATTTTTGGGACAGGGTCTTACTCTGTCACCCAGGCTGGAGTGCAGTGGTGTGCTCACAGCTCACTACAGCCTCCATCTCCCAGTCTCAAGCAATCCTCCTGCCTCAGCCTCCCGAATAGCTGGAACTACAGGTGCACCTCCATGCACTGGTATTATTTATTTATTTATTTATTTATTTTAGAGATGATGAGTTATTACTGTGTTGTCTAAGCTGGTCTCGAACTCCTGAGCTCAAGCAATCCTCCTGCCTCAGCCTCCTGAATAGCTGGGGCTACAGGTGCACCACCATGCACTGGTAATTTTTTTTTTTTTTTTTAACCAATGGGGTTTCACTATGTTGTCCAGGCTGGTCTTGAACTTCTGGGCTCAAGTAGTCCGCCCTACCTCAGCCTCCAAAGTGCTGGGATTATAGGTGTGAGTCACTGCACACGTCCCCTTGTTTTAAAAATAAGAACATGTCTCATGCAGGTCTTTCCAATGCATGGCTGTGGGCTATAAATTATTTGCTATGGAACATGCAGCCTGATTAACACTAAAAGCACTTAAAGACATGTCCCTAATGGACAAGTAATTCTGTTGCCTCTACCCCTTTCTCTCTCTCTCTCTGTCTCTCTCTTTTTTGAAATGGAGTTTCACTCTTGTTGCCCAGGCTAGAGTTCAGTAATGTGATCTTGTTCACTGCAACCTCCGCCTCCCAGGTTCAAGCGATTCTCCTGCCTCAGCCTCCCAAGTAGCTGGGATTACAGGCATGCACCACTACACCCAGCTAACTTTTGTATTTTTAGGAGAGACGGGGTTTCACCATGTTGGTCAGGCTGGTCTCGAACTCCTGACCTCAGGTGATCTGCCCTCCTTGGCCTCCCAAAGTGCTGGGATTACAAGAATGAGCCACTGCGCCAGCCTCTACCCCCTTTGCTACCTGGCTACCACTACCCTAGCTTTCGGGTTACGTCCCAGAAATTCTGAGGATTCTGTTTCTCCTGAGGCCTCCATTCCCTGAGCTTGAGAAAGAGTTCTATAGAAGAGTGTCATACAAAGGAGAGTCCTGGGGAGGATGCCTGGCCAGGATTAGAAACTCAAGCATCAGGACAAATAGCGAATGCATGCCGGGCTTAAAACCTAGATGACGGGTTGATAGATGCAGCAAACCACCACGGTACACATATACCTATGTAACAACCTGCACACATGTATCCCAGAACTCAAAGTATATAAAAAGAAAAAGAAACTCTAAGTCTCAAACAAAATTGAGTCTTTCTACATGTTCTTCTTCTTCTTTTTTTTAAAGCGTTAGTTTTGGTCAGCTACAACTCCCGAGCCCTCTTTCCCTGTGCTTAGCCTTCCTGGCGTTCCTCAAATGTGAGGGCCGTCCCGAGCTGTCCTTGGCGTGCTTCTCCCTGCCTAGCTGCCGCTGCCACCCAGGCCTGCAGGACCACTGCTGCGCTGATGACCGCCCAGCTGCGCCTCGGCCCAACGCCCTCCAAACTCCACGGCTCAATTTCCAACGTGGTGTCCTGCCAATGCCTCAACCAAAACTCAGCCTTTTCTGTACTCCCAACGAGTAACGTTCTCCGTGTTCCTAGATGGAAAACGCAGTCATTCTGATGGCTTTCTCTCTGACCCCCGCCCCTGTGACAGCCTCCAATGAAATACCAAATCTGCACCGTGGATTCTTCCCGCAGTTTGTTTTGCAGCTTCATTGCCTTTCCGTTCTCAAGGCCACCTCTCACCGGTGCCCTGGCCTCTCAACTGGTATTTCAGCCTCTAGATTAATTAAGGGCCCTCCAGCGCTCCTTGCATCCTGGGAGCCCCGCTCTGCAAAGACCTTCATTTCGGGCTGAGGGAAGCAGGCAGCATCAATGCTGACCCCTCAGTGTGTGCACCATCTCACTGCATTCGGTCCTTCCAGCTGTGTCTACTGCCCTCTCCCCACCCGCTGTGTGCACACATGTGCACCCACACACACACGTGGGTTGAGAGGTCCTCCACCCTAGTCACTCAGGGCACTCAGTTTCCCCGTGGGCATCCTTCATTTCTTCTCCTCATCACACTAGCTTCTCACCACCCTCCCCTTCTTCACCCCTTCATTATTACCACCTGTTTAAAAAATTCTTCCTAGTTTTTGGTGGCCAGTCTGATGTCACCCTCTCCCAAGAAGCCTTCTTCAATTGCACAAGTTGAGGATGTTCTTTCTCTGTGAAATTCCCCAGCCTCGTGGTCTCTTTGCTTATATAACACTTTAGCATATCCTGTGCCCTGCTTTATCTGGGGACACATCTTACTTCTTGGCACCACCACTACTGACCCTTCAGTGTATTGAGATGCTGTCTTTATATTTTACTTCCTCCAGGAATCCAGACAGCAGCTCTCATACAGTAGGCCCAATAAACATTTGTGGCACAAATGCATGCGTATTTCCAAGCAAGGTCTGTCCTATGCTGGTGCATGAAATTTTCCTAAAGCTAAGCAGAGGATTTTACATTCATCCCTGTTTAATTTTATGATGTTGGTTTTGGCCCAGAATCCCATCCTATATAAATCACTTTGAACTCGAGTATGTCACGTAGCATATTAACTACCCCAGTTGTGGGTCATCTGGATTCTTTCTATTTTTCATCCAAGTCATTAACAAAAATGTTTAACAATTAGGGCCAAGGATAGAGCCCTGTGGCCTGCCACTGGAGACTTTCTTCAGGAAAGACCTGGGGTCCTTAATCAAAGTACTTTGGGCCAGGTAGTTCAATCTGCACTGAATGCACCTTGCCAAAAATCCTTTGTAATACAAGTAATGTGACCACATGAGAAATCCGAATATGCTTGTTGGCACAGGAAAGCACTCAACTCCTTAAGCCCAGTCAGAAAGATCAGGACTGATGTCAGCTTAGATAGGGAGAGGGGCTCTGGTTTGAACGCTTAGCCTCTTACTGTCTATCCCTGCAGCTGTTTTAGCAGTCTCCGAATCCCACCCTGTTCAGCTCCCTAGCAGGGGCCTCCCCACAGAGGTGTGAAAGGTAAGGAATTGTCAGGGTACAGGTAACTCAGGCATGTGAGGGAGGAAGTGGAAGGGAAGCTCTACTCCACACTGCCCTCCTTCCCGTTTCCTACCTCCTCGTTTCACTGATTTACCAGGGTGAACACACAAAATACGCTTGCCATCTGCTCTCCTTCCCTCCCTTTCTTTGAAATGTATTTCTTTTTTCCTTCCTTCCTTCCTTTTCTTTTCAGTTTCATTCTTGTTGCCCAGGCTGGAGTGCAATGGCACAATCTCAGCTCATGCAACCTCTGCCTTTGGGGTTCAAGTGATTCTCCTGCCTCAGCCTCCCAAGTAGGTGGGATTACAGGCACACACCACCACACCCAACTAATTTTGTATTTTTAGTAGAGACACGGTTTCTCTATGTTGGTCAGGTTAGTCTCAAACTCCTGACCTCAGGTGATCCTCCGGCCTCAGCCTCCCAAAGAGCTGAGATTACAGGTGTGAGCCACCGCACTTGGCTGAAATGTATTTCTTGAGCCAAGGAGACTCCCTTCCTCTTGCTGGTCTTGGCTGCTCATAAGCCTAATGCTTGGATTTGCCATTCTATGCCCAAGGCTCCCCTAGTCTCCCAGGTTCTAGTCTGGATTTATGTGGGACACTGTTCCAGCATTGCCCCCAAGACCCAGCCTCCTACCGAAGTCCAGAGAGCTTTGCCAGCAGAGTTTTACATGCAGGATGCAGTAACCACCCGTCTGTCAAACTCTCAGCCTGGAGAACTTCAGATGTCTTCTCGTCCATCCCGTGTCCCATTCAGAGCTGCACCAAAAGCACAGGAGGCGGGTCTCTTCTAAATGATAATAAAAGTCCCCTTCCCTAATCAATAAACAATTATATCACACCTAGTGTGCACTTTATACAACCATTACACAACCATTATACAACCATTTATACTAAGCACTTTATACAACCATCACACACCATTGACTCATTTACACCTCATAACAACCTGTCAGGTAGGTGTTACCATTATTGCCATTTTACAAATGGAAAATTCAAGGCATGGAGAGGTCACAAGCTAGTAAAAGGCAAAGTCAAAACTCAAACCCAGCCATATGGCTCTCTGTGCTCCTAACCCTCAAGTCATTGCACTGCCTCCCCCTGTGGCATATGAAGCCTGCATTCCTGCATCTACTCACAGGGTGCCATGAACATACATTATGCTCATCATAGGATGTTGGGACCTAGGATGGGGATTAGCAGAGCTTACAGTTTAGCTGAGGAGACAGGGGAAAGTCCTTTGAAAAGGAAGTGTGGTAGAAGTGTAAAGTATTTTCCCTATTACTGTTGCACAGCTCAGAACCTCTTTTATGCTATAAAAAGCCTCTTTGTCCTATATCGGTAAGGTTCATTTTGCTCATATTCACCAATGTCACTTTTTGCCTTCTCTTCACCACCTTCCACTAGGCACAGAGAGCACCAGTGCTTTCTTACAGAAGACACACTCAAGTTGTTACAATTTTTTACAATATCACTTTAATAAATACTAATAACATCACCATGATGCATTTGTGAAATAATTGAACATTTCAAGGTTACTTCCATAAGATATTTATTACATGCATAATCTTACTTCCTTTTCAAAATAGCCCTAGAAGGTAGGTAAAGCAGGTACCAGGTTTACAGAGGGGGGAACTGACCCTGAACCTAAAACCCAGGATTGATAGTCTTTCTCTGCACAGCATCCCCCTTGATCTATTACAAATTCAAAAATCAGGCAAAGAAAGCCTTAAGGGAACAGAGAAAAGTCTGTTGCTACCATTTCTTCAAGTTCTACTGCCTAATTCCAATGTCACTTGCAGGCTGACTTTCACTAACTCCTTCCTTAGGGACGAAAGGCAAGGCTTATGTACAAGGCTTATGGGAAAGAATGGTGATTCTAAGTGTTATGTAACTATATGTAGAAAAAAGGCATAGATTCCCTTTCACCAAGGGGGAGCACATTCCAGTCAAAAGGTGTGTGGAGAATTCCATGCTGCTCACATAGCAACAAAGACTTCCACCTCCCAGGAGCCACCTGGGCTGTAAGCTGCAACTCCTGATGGCATGGTCCATGGGATTGGCTGTTCCAGGACTACGAGGCTTGAGAAACAGTCTAAACAGATCCCCTTAATAGCACAGGTTTGTATTTCTCTGATATATTTTCCTGCATGTCTGTACCTCCAGCTTCTCCTTCAAACCCCCCTGCCCCTCTTAACCACCCCCAAAGCACGAAGAACAGTTGACATCATTGAAAACATTATTTGTGCTTGTGAAGCAGTTTTGATTTCAATCTGCAAGAACATCTCCGACCACAAAAGCTGTGTAAGACTCAAGTGAATGAACCCTGAGTGATGCAGATAAATGCTTTCTCCCTGGGTCTTCCCCCGCTTGTCAGCCTGAAAGACACAGTCTTACTTCCAGACATAGCTCAAAGAACCTCCGCTCTGTGTAGGCTTCTAAGACTCCACCAGGCTACTAACAACATTCCTGAAGTCCTTCTAGCTCTCATCATTTGGAGGCCATGGGAGGATGGTCCTTCCTGCCCCTGTGGTTAAGTGGAGCCATGTGGATCGTTATGAACCTTCTAAGAGAGAGCATTTAGTGGCCTGTGCGAGTCCTCCAGAACTTTCCTTCCATCTTCCAAGACAACCAGCAAAGGGGTAGCTGCTCCCACTGCTTAGGTGTCAGAGGGAGAACAAACGATGACCCCGAGCAGAGCCCCCAGCCAACCCTCAATGGACTCGTAACATGGGTGAAAAGTAAACCTTTGCATTTCAGCCATGAAGATTGCGGCACTGTTACAGCAACACTGGCCTGCCTTCCTACTTATGCAACAGGACTGTTTACTCACTGCCTTTTCAGAACCAATCACACTGTTTTATAATTATTTCTTTCATTTCTGTCCCCTCTTTACCTTCAAACTGTAATGGAACTTGAGGGCAAGGATTGTGTCTTATTAGTTCACATTTAGTAGCTGCTTGGTACATATCTTTTTGTTTTTGTTTTTGTTTTGTTTGAGATGGAGTCTTGCTCTGCTGCCCAGGCTGGAGTGCAGTGGTGCGATCTTGGCTCACTGCAACCTCTGCCTCCTGGGTTCGAGCGAGTCTTCTGCCTCAGCCTCCTGAGTAGCTAGGACTACAGGCACATGCCACCACACCTGGCTAATTTTTGCATTTGTAGTAGACACGGGGTTTCACCATATTGGCCAGGCTGGTCTCAAGCTCCTGACCTTGTGATCCACCCACGTTGGCCTCCCAAAGTGCTGGGATTACAGGCATGAGCCACCGCACCCAGCCTAGTACGTGTCTTTAAATAAATGAATGAAGGGATGAATGAAAGAATAAGATATTTGAGAACAGGGTCTTATAATCTTGCTAGGCATGGTGCTTTACAATGGTGGTGGTGATCCTAGATAATCTTGAGTGGCTCTTCCCAGGCTGCTTGCACTATAGCTATCTCCCTGAAAAGGGACCAGATGAGTGGGGGTGATCCTTATGGCTACATGGAAATGCTCCATAGCATCCTGGAGACAGACTTCCCATCCCAACTGCAGCTCTCTGAAAAGAGAATTATAGCTGAGACCCAGGCCACTAGGGGTATGGATGACAGAGGTGTATATTGGGCTACCTAAAAGGTAGGAAATTAGTCATACAACAGGTGTCAATGAATATTCATTGGTAATTTGCACCTAAGGTACTAGTGGGGGCTGTTGGGGGGTGGTCATAATATAGCTTAACACTAACCCAGGATTCACCCCAACAATCCCCAAGTCCTTTACCTCTACATAGATAGGATGTTGCCTGCTATAGTAGGGTGAATGGTGACCCCCTAAAAGATATGATCACTTCCTGGATAGTCACGGTGGCTCATGCCTGTAATCCAACACTTTGGAAGGCTGTGGTAGAAGGATCACTTGAGCCAGAGTTCAAGACCAGCCTGGGCAACATAGGGAGACCTTGTCTCTACTAAAAATATAAAAATAAGCTGGGTATGGTGGTGCACGCCTATAGTCCCAGCTACTCAGGAGGATGAGGTGAGAGGATCACTTAAGCCCTGGAAGATTGAGGCTGCAGTGAGCCATGATTGTGCCACTGCACTCCAGCCTGGGCGACACAGCAAGACCCTGACTTGCGAAAAAATAAACAAACACACACAAGATACGATCACTTCCTAATCCCTGGAACCTGTGAATGTTACCTTATGTGGAAAAAGTCTTAGCAGAGGTAGTTATCAATTTTGAGATGAAGACATCATCCTGGATTATCAACGTAGGTCCTAATCCAGTGACACAGGTCCTTATGAGAGACACACAGAGGAGAAGGTAAGGCAAAGATGAGACGAAGACTGCAGTGGCATGGCCACAAGTCAAGGATGCTGGTAACCACCAGGAGCCAAAAGAAACATGTAATGGAGCCGCCCCTTGAGCCTTAGTAGGGAATGAGGTCCTCCTGACACCCTGCTTTTAGACATCTGGCCTCAAGAACCATGAAAAAAGACGTTGCTGTTGGTTTCAGCCACCCAGTTTGTGGTAATGTTAGGGCAGCCCTCGCAAACTCATACATCTGCCAGCTCCACTGGCTTCAGATTCTCCATCTGGGCAGCACTTCTGTACTCTACAGCAGCCTGCAGCACCAGGCATCTCTCTGAGTCTCCCATTCGTTTCCCCAAGGAAAACAAGGATTTGGAATCATCCTTGTTCTCCTCTGCAGTACTTAAATTCAGGTCTTTGTGAGGGGATTCAGGCATGACTGGACAACAGGGCCCAAGGGGCTCCCCCCGAAAGACCCCTCAAGCCGTCGGAGAAAGGAAGCCTAGTAGAACAAGGCGTACAGCTGCGGCGGGGGTGGCTGGGCCCTCCTGGCCTCAGCTCTGGGTCTCTTGGCATCTGTTAAAACAATGAGAATAAAAACAGCTCTTCTCCCCACCAACCCTATCCCCACAGATAGTGGTGCTTGCTAGGGAAGACCTAGAGAGCGGAGCACCACTGTGTGGAGGACTCAGAGAGCCAAGAGGGCAATACACAGAAATGAGAAGCCAATAAAGTCATCATGAGTCCATTTAAACATGCAGATCAAAAGCGCTCTGGTGTGCTGGGAGTCAGAGGACCTTGATTAACTCTGACTTCGTTACTAACTGACTTTAAGTATGAACATTGGTAAATCATGTATGCTCAGTTTCCTCATCTTTAAAATGAAAAGGATGGAAGAAATTGCTAAGGCTCTTTCTTGCTTTCAAAACTCCAAAGTCCTAAAAATGAATGTGGAAAAATCTTCCTGTTTTGCCTTAGGTGTGGGCACCAGTTTCACCCAGAGACACTAGAGCCTTTCAGAAGTCTTTTAGCTGTGCAGAGGAGGGCTCAGAGTAAATCTGTGTCAGGCCTTACAAGTGCCAAGCCTTGAGCTGGCTGGCCTCCACCGTGGCCTGGCCTGAGCTAGAGGAAGACTGGCCAGGCTGAGGGGCATGTGGTCTCCCTGAGAGCCCACGTAGGTGCTGTGTGGGAAGCTAGAGCTTCTCCAGAGCAAAAGGAAGAACAGGGGCCACAGGACCCCACCAGATACGGTAGGTTCAAATGTTAGAAGGCTGGTAATTACCTTCTAGACCCTGGGCACATTAGTTAAGCATCTCAAAGCCTCAGCATCCTTTCCTAGAAGACTGACATAATACGACTTTATGAAGATTAAAAAAGATAAATTTGTGCACAGCATCTATATATAGTAGGCGTTCAACAAGTGGTAGTAATTACCATGACAACAGGCTGTAGGTCTCTCCCACACTGACATTGGTGTGACTGCTCAGGAACGAATTTCCCATTATTCACCCGAACATATCTCTAACGCACAACAAGCCAGAAACCTGAGGCCTGGGAATGTGCTTCAGAGATGGAGGTCGGGGTGGGGTCCCAGCAGGGTGGGAAAAGTGTGCATGTAGCTCATGCGTTGGGAACAAACTATTGAAGGCAGAGGTTCTAGCGAGGAGGCTCAGAGGAGGCCCAAAACCTGCTGTGGCACACTGTGAGATGCAGATTCTCTGTGACCTGTGGCGTGGGCGGCTGGATTGCACAATAGCAGCCACAAGGCTCAGCGGTGCTGCTTACCTGGACTTGGGCTGATGCATGTGGTTGGCCGCTGCTCTACAGTCCACCCTGTTGCGTCCCTTGGCTGCCTCTGGGCAAACAGGAGAAACCCTGGCTTTATAGGGAATGTACCAGATGTGTGGGCATAGTGGAAGGAATGAGCGGGACTGTAGGTGGAGGTGTAAGCGGGAACAGAGGGGTGTGTGTGTGTGTTCTGTTCCTAGAGCCCTCTTTCTGTTAATGAAGGTAAGAGGACTTGGGTAGCTTTAGGTGAGCTTGACCAAACTTTGGGACCTGGAGCCTATTTCAAATCAATTTCTCTAGCAGGAGCCTTTGGGGGCAGGTTCCAGAAAGGCACGTGCTTGCTATTAGATTGAGGTCTCCTGTGTGTTCTGCACCCCGGGGCTGCCAGGGGATGGGTGAAGAGCAGTACTTGTGGAGGAATCCCCAGCACAGGAAGCCAGTTTTCTCTACCTCCTATTAGAGGAGGCTTTGAACGCCCACGTACCTTAGAACTTATCAAGATACTATCTTGCATGTTTTTATGTCGTGTCATTTGCATATATCTTGTTTCCCCAAATAGAAGAGAGCTCCTTTTAGGGCAGGAACTGTGACTTACATTTCCTGTACTCCCCATCTAGTCCTCAAATATCGTTATCTTGCTCTATCCTCCAGGAACGAACTACTTATTGTTCTCCATGCACTCCATGCTGTTTCTTGCACCAGTAGCTTTGCTCTTGTCATTCTCTCTGATTGGAATGCTCTTCCCAATTTTCTGCCCTTAGTTAACTCTTACTCACCCCTCAAGATTCAACTCAGAAATTATTTTCTCCCTGAGCCCAGGCTGATGTCCCTCATCTGTGCATGTAGGCGCTCATCCCTGCTCCGCAATAATCTGTTTAGGT